CACTGCCCCTACACTGCCCTTACACTGCCCCTACACTGCCCTTACACTGCCCCTACACTGCCCCTACACTGCCCTTACACTGCCCCTACACTGCCCTTACACTGCCCTTACACTGCCCCTACACTGCCCCTACACTGCCCCTACACTGTCCTTACACTGCCCTTACACTGCCCCTACACTGCCCCTACACTGCCCTTACACTGCCCCTACACTGCCCTTACACTGCCCTTACACTGCCCCTACACTGCCCCTACACTGCCCCCATACTGCCCCCACACTGCCCTTACACTGCCCCTACGCTGCCCCTACACTGCCCTACACTGCCCCTACACTGCCCCTTCACTGCCCCTACACTGCCCCTACTCTGCCCCTACACTGCCCCTACACTGCCCCTTCACTGCCCCTACACTGCCCCTACACTGCCCCCATACTGCCCCCATACTGCCCCTACACTGCCCCTACACTGCCCCTACACTGCCCCCACACTGCCCCTACACTGCCCCCACACTGCCCCCATACTGCCCCCACACTGCCCCTACACTGCCCCTACACTGCCCACACACTGCCCACACACTGCCCCTACACTGCCCCCACACTGCCCCTACACTGCCCCCACATTGCCCCTACACTGCCCCCACACTGCCCCTACACTGCCCCCACACTGCCCCCACACTGCCCCTACACTGCCCCTACACTGCCCCCACACTTCCCCTACACTGCCCCTACACTGCCCCCACACTGCCCCTACACTGCCCCCACACTGCCCCCACACTGCCCCCACACTGCCCCCACACTGCCCCTACACTGCCCCCACACTGCCCCTACACTGCCCCTACACTGCCCCCACACTGCCCCCACACTGCCCCCACACTGCCCCCACACTGCCCCACACTGCCCCTACACTGCCCCCACACTGCCCCCACACTGCCCCTACACTGCCCCCACACTGCCCCCACACTGCCCCTACACTGCCCCCACACTGCCCCCACACTGCCCCTACACTGCCCCTACACTGCCCCCACACTGCCCCCACACTGCCCCCACACTGCCCCTACACTGCCCCTACACTGCCCCCACACTGCCCCTACACTGCCCCCACACTGCCCCCACACTGCCCCCACACTGCCCCTACACTGTCCTTACACTGCCCCTACACTGCCCCTACACTGCCCCTACACTGCCCCCACACTGCCCCTACACTGCCCCCACACTGCCCCCACACTGCCCCCACACTGCCCCTACACTGCCCCTACACTGCCCCACACTGCCCCCACACTGCCCCTACACTGCCCCTACACTGCCCTCACACTGCTCCCACACTGCCCCTACACTGCCCTCATGCTGCCCCTACACTGCCCCTACACTGCCCCTACACTGCCCCTACACTGCCCCCACACTGCCCCTACACTGCCCCTACACTGCCCCTACACTGCCCCCACACTGCCCCTACACTGCCCCTACACTGCCCCTACACTGCCCCCACACTGCCCCTACACTGGCCCCACACTGCCCCCACACTGCCCCTACACTGCCCCTACACTGGCCCCACACTGCGCCCACACTGCCCACACACTGCCCCCACACTGCCCCTACACTGCCCCCACACTGCCCCCACACTGCCCCTACACTGCCCCTACACTGCCCCCACACTGCCCCCGCACTGCCCCCGCACTGCCCCCACACTGCCCCTACACTGCCCCCACACTGCCCCTACACTGCCCCCACACTGCCCCCACACTGCCCCCACACTGCCCCCACACTGCCCCTACACTGCCCCTACACTGCCCCCACACTGCCCCTACACTGCCCCTACACTGCCCCACACTGCCCCTACACTGCCCCCACACTGCCCCCACACTGCCCCCACACTGCCCCCACACTGCCCCACACTGCCCCACACTGCCCACACTGCCCCCTACACTGCCCCCACACTGCCCCCACACTGCCCCCACACTGCCCCTACACTGCCCCTACACTGCCCCCACACTGCCCCTACACTGCCCCCACACTGCCCCCACACTGCCCCCACACTGCCCCCACACTGCCCCCACACTGCCCCTACACTGCCCCCACACTGCCCCCACACTGCCCCCACACTGCCCCCACACTGCCCCTACACTGCCCCTACACTGCCCCCACACTGCCCCCACACTGCCCCTACACTGCCCCCTACACTGCCCCCACACTGCCCCCACACTGCCCCCACACTGCCCCTACACTGCCCCTACACTGCCCCCACACTGCCCCTACACTGCCCCCACACTGCCCCCACACTGCCCTACACTGCCCCTACACTGCCCCTACACTGTCCTTACACTGCCCCTACACTGCCCCTACTCTGCCCCCTACACTGCCCCCACACTGCCCCTACACTGCCCCCACACTGCCCCTACACTGCCCCCACACTGCCCCTACACTGCCCCTACACTGCCCCCACACTGCCCCTACACTGCCCCTACACTGCCCCTACACTGCCCCCACACTGCTCCCACACTGCCCCTACACTGCCCCTACACTGCCCCCACACTGCCCCTACACTGCCCCCACACTGCTCCCACACTGCCCCTACACTGTCCTTACACTGCCCCCATACTGCCCCTATATTGCCCCGATACTGCCCCTACACTGCCCCCACACTGCCCCTACACTGCCCTTACACTGCCCCTACACTGCCCTTACACTGCCCTTACACTGCCCCTACACTGCCCCTACACTGCCCCTACACTGCCCCCATACTGCCCCTACACTGCCCCCACACTGCCCCTACACTGCCCCCATACTGCCCCTACACTGCCCCCACACTGCCCCCACACTGCCCCCACACTGCCCCCACACTGCCCCTACACTGCCCCCTACACTGCCCCCACACTGCCCCCTACACTGCCCCCTACACTGCCCCACACTGCCCCACACTGCCCCTACACTGCCCCTACACTGTCCTTACACTGCCCTTACACTGCCCCTACACTGCCCTTACACTGCCCTTACACTGCCCCTACACTGCCCCTACACTGCCCCTACACTGCCCCCACACTGCCCCTACACTGCCCCTACACTGCCCCTACACTGCCCTTACACTGCCCTTACACTGCCCCTACACTGCCCCTACACTGTCCCTACACTACCCCCACACTGCCCACACACTGCCCACACACTGCCCCTACACTGCCCCTACACTGCCCCTACACTGCCCCCATACTGCCCCTACACTGCCCCTTCACTGCCCCTACTCTGCCCCTACACTGCCCCTACACTGCCCCTTCACTGCCCCTACACTGCCCCTACACTGCCCCCACACTGCCCCCATACTGCCCCTACACTGCCCCTACACTGCCCCTACACTGCCCCCACACTGCCCCTACACTGCCCCCACACTGCCCCCACACTGCCCCCACACTGCCCCTACACTGCCCCTACACTGCCCCTACACTGCCCCTACACTGCCCCTACACTGCCCCCACACTGCCCCCACACTGCCCCTACACTGCCCACACACTGCCCACACACTGCCCCTACACTGCCCCCACACTGCCCCTACACTGGCCCCACACTGCCCCCACACTGCCCCCACACTGCCCCTACACTGGCCCCACACTGCCCCTACACTGGCCCCACACTGCCCCTACACTGGCCCCACACTGCCCCTACACTGCCCCTACACTGCCCACACACTGCCCCTACACTGCCCCCACACTGCCCCTACACTGGCCCCACACTGCCCCTACACTGGCCCCACACTGCCCCTATACTGCCCCTACACTGCCCCTACACTGGCCCCACACTGCCCCCACACTGCCCCCACACTGCCCCCACACTGCCCCCACACTGCCCCTACACTGCCCCTACACTGCCCCCACACTGCCCCTACACTGGCCCCCACACTGCCCCCACACTGCCCCTACACTGCCCCACACTGCCCCCACACTGCCCCTACACTGCCCCTACACTGCCCCTACACTGCCCCTACACTGCCCCCACACTGCCCCTACACTGGCCCCCACACTGCCCCTACACTGCCCCTACACTGCCCCTACACTGCCCCTACACTGGCCCCACACTGCCCCCACACTGCCCCTACACTGCCCCCACACTGCCCCCACACTGCCCCCACACTGCCCCTACTCTGCCCCTACTCTGCCCCTACTCTGCCCCTACACTGCCCCTACACTGCGCCCACACTGATTGATTTAGTTATTATTATTTATTATAATCATTTTATTTGATTATTATTTCACCACCGCTATTTTTTGGTTTGTTTCAGCAAAGCCACGGAGGCAGACACAATAATCTTAGGTTTTTTCGGTAAAGTCACGTAGGTTAAAAATTTAAAATGAATAAAAGTTACATTTATTTTATTTTTATTTTACTTTTATTAATTTAAAAATTTTACCCACGTGACTTTACCGAAAAAACCTCGGACTATGAATCCTTGGCAGTCACGAAAGCTTCAAATCTAGAATGAATGCCTTCATGGCACCCCTATACCAGAGGTCGCAAACGGGTTTTGATTCCTTACCCGTACCCGTACCCGGCCGCACCAGGGTCGCAAACGGATACCCGTACCCTACCCGAAATGAGTGACAAATGGTTACTCACCGGTGACTCACGGCCTACCCGTACCCGGCCGGGTACGGGTAGGGTACGGGTATCGGGTACCCGATTGCGACCTCTGGGATGAAGCCATGTTGCAGGCGCGGGTGGGTTGAGTCTAGGCACTTGAATTGTGAGAAGAGACAAGACGTTGGGAAATGAGTGACAAACGGTGACTCACCAGTGACTCACGGCCTACCCGTACCCGGCCGGGTATCGGGTAGGGTACAGGTATCGGGTACCCGGTTGCGACCTCTGCCCTATACTGCCCATGTGCCCCCCCCCCTCGTCCCACCATGCTCCCGTGGTGCCTTTCTGCTGCCCACCCGCACTACAACCGTTGCTGCCCTGTGCTGCCCTGTGCTGCCCTGTGCTGCCCTGTGCTGCCCTGTGCCCCCCCCCCCGAGCAGCTGCTGCTGCTGTCGCGTCAGTTTGTGCAGTGGGACGAGGCGTTGACGCGCGTCGAGGTGGCGCGAGGTGCCCGCAGGGTGCTCGACTGACGAGGGCCGAGGCTGCGAAGAACCCACGGGGTCAACACACACGCCCACCCGCACACCTCGCCCACCCACCCACACACCTCGCCCACTCGCCCACTCGCCCGCACACCCACACACCTACCCACCCGCCCACCCACCCACCGCACACCCACACACCTACCCACCCGCCCACCCACCCACCCACCACACACCCGCCTACCCGCCCACCTACCCACCCACCCACTGCACTCGGCACACGGCACTCCGCACACCGCACACGTCACGTCACACCGCACACGGCACACCGCACACGGCACACGGCACGTCACACGGCACAAGCCACAACGTTTGCAATCCGAGTTCTGTGACATTTCACCAGTCGTCACAGCCACCAGCTTCATCAGGCGACGCCCACATTCGTGGAGAAACCCTCCACCTCGATTTAAAGCTTTCGTGACTGCAGGGCTTCATCTTCTTGTGTCTTTCGGTAAAGTCATCACGTAGAAGGGAAATAATAAAATAATAAAAATATAATAAAATAATTTTCGCGGCGTTTTGGCTACAACGAAAGATGGCTGCTTGCGTTGTAGCCGAAACGTCGTGAGAATTGTATTTTATTATGTTTTATTTTTATTATTTTACTACTTCCCTTCTACGTGACGACTTTACCGAAAGAACCAAGAAGATGAAACCCTCCCACCTGTTTTCGTTCCTTACGCAGAGGCGCAGATGTGATGTCCACGCTTGTGCAAAGTGGCGGCGGTGGTGGTGGTGGTGGTGGGGAGGAGATTACTGTAGCAATCTACCAGCCCCGTGGTCTTGTACTTGCTTGCCCATTGTGTGTGCTACAACAGCTTCCCATAGAAAGCTTGCCCGGCAGAGGTCGCAAACGGGTTTTGATTCCTTAACCGTTCCCATACCCGGCCGCACCAGGGTCGCAAACGGGTACCCGTACCCGGCCGTACCCGTACCCTACCCGATACCCGGCTACCCATACCCGGCCGGGTATCGGGTAGGGTATGGGTAGGGTACGGGTACCCGATTGCGACCTCTGGGATGAAGCCATGTTGCAGGCGCGGGTGGGTTGATTCTAGGCACTTGAATTGTGAGGAGACAAGACGTTGGGAAATGAGTGACAAACGGTGACTCGCCAGTGACTCACGGCCTACCCGTACCTGGCCGGGTAGCCGGGTCGCCGGGTATCGGGTAGGGTACGGGTATCGGGTACCCGGTTGCGACCTCTGTTGCCCGGGTAGGGAGTCGAACCCCCGGGGCGAGGGTCGAACTCGTGGCCTGAACTCTTTGGGGGGCCCTCCCCCCCCCCCTTTCGGCCGTGTCGCCCGTACGCTGTGCGCGTCATGTCACCCCGCGCTGTAAACGCTCCGTATTTATCAAATAAAAGCCGATGACGATGAGGCGCGATCTCCGCCTCGTTGGTTCCGGTGGGACGTGCGGCGGGTCGATGGCGGGCTGCAGGAATTCATATTCTGATGACGATCACTTGTGTTGTGAGCGAAACGTCGTGGTTTTTCTGTTATTTTGTTTTCTTTCTACCTATCTACGGCGATTTACCGAAAGACCCAAAGAATATCCACTCGCCTCACCCAGTACCCACTAGTCACTCACACTCAACCACTAGCCTCACCCAGTAGCCACTAGCCCCTCCCATGCATTAAGGGTGGTTTTGGGGGCGGATTTGGGTGGCGGGGGGTTGGGGGGGTCGAAGGGGGGGTTTGCGGGGTGGGGTAGGGGGTGAGGGTGGGGTCAGGGGTGGGGTAGGGGGTGTGGGTGAGGTCAGGGGGGTTTGCGGGGTGGGGTAGGGGGTGAGGGTGGGGTAGGGGGTGAGGGTGGGGTAGGGGGTGTGGGTGGGGCCAGGGGTGGGGTAGGGGATGTGGGTGAGGTCAGGGGGGTTTGTGGGGTAGGGGTGGTGGGTGGGTAGGGGGTGGTGGGTGGGGTAGGGGGTGTGGGTGGGGTCAGGGGGTGTGGTAGGAGGTGGGGTCGGGGGGGTTTTGCGGGGTGGGGTAGGGGGTGAGGGTGGGGTAGGGGGTGAGGGTGGGGTAGGGGGTGTGGGTGGGGTAGAGGGGTGAGGGTGGGGTAGGGGGGGTTTGCGGTGTGGGGTAGGGGGTGAGGGTGGGGTAGGGGGTGAGGGTGGGGTAGGGGGAGTGGGTGGGGTAGGGGGTGGTGGGTGGGGTAGGGGGGGGTTGCGGGGTGGGGTAGGGGGTTGTGGGCGGAGTCAGGGGAGTTTGCGGGGTGGGGTAGGTGGTTGTGGGCGGAGTCAGGGGGGTTTGCGGGGTGGGGTAGGGGGTTGTGGGCGGAGTCAGGGGAGTTTGCGGGGTGGGGTAGGGGGTTGTGGGCGGAGTCAGGGGTTCGGTGACCCCCCCCCGCCCCCCACCTCCACCCCCCGTACCCGGAAGCGTCACTCGGGTGTCTTGGCCGCCGTCTTAGCAGGAGGTTCTCCCCGCGGCCGCCGTCTCGTCACCGTCTCGTCGCCTTCCTCACCGCCGCCGCCGCCGTCTCCCTCCTCTCGGTGCCTCAGCGCGTCTCTCGTCTCGTTATGCACGAGCATCGCTGGTCATGCTGGAGCGAATCCTCGCCATTCTGGTACGGGACGACACCCACCAGCCCCCCCGGCTTGACTAGCTAGGCTCCTGCCGGCACGTCGCACGCGAATCCCGCGGGGCCATTAGGCAAGGCCGAGGATGCGTGGCGGTGCTACTAGGCCGCGGCCTACGACCGGTGTTGATGTTGAGTTTTAGTTTATTTTTAACAACTCTTTTAAGTAATCTAATAAGTCATTTAACGAACCATTTAGCCACTCGTTTAACAACTCGGGTAACTCAACAACTTCATCTAGCCTTTTTTTTCGATTTAAAGCTTTCGTGACTGCATGGATTCATATTCTTGGTTCTTTCGGTAAAGTCACGCAGAAGGGAAATAATAAAATAATAAAAATTCAACATTAAATAATGAAAATAAAACATGATAAGATAAAATTCTGACGAAGAACAGGGCTGTCGTAAAGACAGCGTCCTCATTAGGACGCTGTCTTTCCGATAGCCCTGTTCTTCACCTGAGGGTGGCTGCTTGCGTTGTGGCCGAAACGTCGTGAGAATTGTATCTTATTATGTTTTATTATTTTATTATATCCCTTCTACGTGACTTTACCGAAAGAACCAAGAATATGAACTCATCTAACCGTTCATCTTGGAACTCATCTAACAACTCATTTAACAACTCATCTAACCATTCATCTAACCATTCATCTTACAACTCATTTAACAACTCATCTAACAACTCATTTCACCATTCATCTAACCATTCATCTAACCATTCATCTAACCATTCATCTAACCATTCATGTAACCATTCATCTAACAATTCATCTAACCATTCATCTAACCATTCATCTAACCATTCATCTAACCATTCATCTAGCCATTCATCTAACCATTCATCTAACCATTCATCTTGCAACTCATCTTGCAACTCATCTTGCAACTCATCTAACAACTCATCTAACCATTCATCTAACAACTCCTCTAAACCTATAACAAATCCTTTAACAAACCCTTTAACTCCTCTTACAACTCCTCTTACAACTCATTTAACAACTCCTTGAACAAACCCTTTAACAACTCCTTGAAAAACTCTTACAAATCCTTTAACAAATCCTTTAACAACTCCTTTAACAAACCCTTTAACTCCTCTTACAAATCCTTTAACAAACCCTTGAGCAACTCCTTGAACAAACCCTTTAACAACTCCTTGAGCAACTCTTTCAAATCCTTTAACAACTCCTTGAATGAAACACCCCAGGCTTGGAGTGTATATTTAAGGGTTGGAGGGGGAAGAACACCTTGAATATACGCTCCAAGCCTGGTGGTGTTCATTCAGACGCTGTCTGTCCGACAGACCTGTTCTTTGAGACGCTGTCTGTCCGACAGACCTGTTCTTTGAGACGCTGTCTTTCCGACAGACCTGTTCATTCAGACGCTGTCTTTCCGACAGACCTGTTCATTCAGACGCTGTCTTTCCGACAGACCGGTTCTTTCAGACGCTGTCTTTCCGACAGACCTGTTCTTTCAGACGCTGTCTTTCCGACAGACCTGTTCATTCAGACGCTGTCTTTCCGACAGACCTGTTCATTCAGACGCTGTCTTTCCGACAGACCTGTTCATTCAGACGCTGTCTTTCCGACAGACCTGTTCATTCAGACGCTGTCTTTCCGACAGACCTGTTCATTCAGACGCTGTCTTTCCGACAGACCTGTTCTTTCAGACGCTGTCTTTCCGACAGACCTGTTCTTTCAGACGCTGTCTTTCCGACAGACCTGTTCTTTCAGACGCTGTCTTTCCGACAGACCTGTTCATTCAGACGCTGTCTTTCCGACAGACCTGTTCATTCAGACGCTGTCTTTCCGACAGACCTGTTCATTCAGACGCTGTCTTTCCGACAGACCTGTTCATTCAGACGCTGTCTTTCCGACAGACCTGTTCATTCAGACGCTGTCTTTCCGACAGACCTGTTCATTCAGACGCTGTAACTAGGTTCCGACAGACCTGTTCATTCAGACGCTGTCTTTCCGACAGACCTGTTCATTCAGACGCTGTCTTTCCGACAGACCTGTTCATTCAGACGCTGTCTTTCCGACAGACCTGTTCATTCAGACGCTGTCTTTCCGACAGACCTGTTCATTCAGACGCTGTCTTTCTGACAGACCTGTTCATTCAGACGCTGTCTTTCCGACAGACCTGTTCTTTCAGACGCTGTCTTTCCGACAGACCTGTTCTTTCAGACGCTGTCTTTCCGACAGACCTGTTCATTCAGACGCTGTCTTTCCGACAGACCTGTTCATTCAGACGCTGTCTTTCCGACAGACCTGTTCATTCAGACGCTGTCTTTCCGACAGACCTGTTCATTCAGACGCTGTCTTTCCGACAGACCTGTTCATTCAGACGCTGTCTTTCCGACAGACCTGTTCATTCAGACGCTGTCTTTCCAACAGACCTGTTCATTCAGACGCTGTCTTTCCGACAGACCTGTTCATTCAGACGCTGTCTTTCCGACAGACCTGTTCATTCAGACGCTGTCTTTCCGACAGACCTGTTCATTCAGACGCTGTCTTTCCGACAGACCTGTTCTTCACCCGAGGACGGCTGCTTGCGTTGTGGCCGAAACGTCGTGAGAATTGCATTTTATTATGTTTTATTTTTATTATTTTATTATTTACCTTCTACATGACTTTACCGAAAGAACCGAGAAGATGAATCCCTGCATAATATTTTATTATGTTTTATTTTTATTATTTTACTATGTCCTTTCTACGTGACTTTACCGAAAGAGCCGAGAAGTTTCATACTTTCTCTCTCTGCGTGACTTTACCGATAGAACCAAAGAGCAATGCGCACCCCTACCCTTCTCCCCCCGTGTGTCCACAGGGGCTGAGAAGATCCGTTCCACAGGTCGACCTCCGCTCCATCCACGTGGGCGATGGCTTCCCGCCGGGACCGTACGTGCAGCACTCGTACCGCGACAACACCATCACCTCGTCCAAGGTGATTGCCGGTGACCCGCGGCGCCCGTACCAGGCTAGGTGGCACCTCTACCGTGGGAGGGGCGGGTGGCAGAGGTCGCAACCGGGTACCCGATACCCGTACCCTACTCGTACCCGGCTACCCGTACCCAGCTGGGTACGGGTAGGCCGTGAGTCACTGGTGAGTCACCGTTTGGGATGAAGCCACGTTGCAGGCGTGGGTGGGTTGATTCTAGGAACTTGAATTGTGAGAAGAGACAAGACGTTGGGAAACGAGTGACAAACGGTGACTCACAGGTGACTCACGGTCTACCCGTACCCGTACCCGGCCGGGTACCGGGTATCGGGTAGGGTACGGGTGTCAGGTAGGGTACGGGTATCGGGTGCGGGTAGCCGGGTATCGGGTAGGGGACGGGTATCGGGTAGGGTACGGGTATCGGGTAGGGTACGGGTATCGGGTAGGGTATCGGGTAGGGTACGGGTATCAGGTAGGGATCGGGTATCGAGTAGGGTACGGGTACCGGGTAGGGTACGGGTATCGGGTAGGGTACGGGTATCGGGTAGGGTACGGGTGTCGGGTAGGGTACGGGTATCGGGTAGGGTACGGGTATCGGGTAGCCGGGTATCGGGTAGGGTACGGGTACCGGGTACGGGTGCCGGGTAGGGTACGGGTATTGGGTACGGGTATCGGGTAGGGTACGGGTATTGGGTACGGGTAGCCGGGTATCGGGTAGGGTACAGGTATTGGGTACGGGTATCGGGTAGGGTAGGGTATCGGGTAGGGTACGGGTACCGGGTACCCGGTTGCGACCTCTGCCCTGAAGCCTGTCTCGGCTGCCTGTGCCCCCTCCCCCACCCCCCACCCCCACCCCCCCCACCCCCCCACCCCCCCACCCCCCTTGGCCTTGCAGTACACGCTGTGGAACTTCATCCCGAAGAATCTGTTTGAGCAGTTCCGACGAATCGCGAACCTCTACTTCCTCATGGTCTTCCTCATCCAGGCGAGTGTTCTCCTGCCCGCCACCCGCCGCCCGCCCGCGTCGGTCGGGACAAACCCCCGCTCCCTCTGCTACCTCCGTTCGCTCGCCCCCACCGTGGCTAGGAGATGTTGACTACCTCGCCTGGTATACAGGAGGTCGTGGGTTCGATCCCGACACTGGCGATGCCTGCTGCTGCTGCTGTATATTTGGAGTCTGCGTCTCTCTCATCATCATCATCATCACCACGGTGGCTAGGAGATGTTGACTACCTCGCCTGGTCTACAGGAGGTCGTGGGTTCAACCCCGACCCTGACGCCTGCTGCTGCTGTATATGTGGAGTCTGCGTCTCTCCCTCATCATCATCACGGTGGCTAGGTGGATGTTGACGACCTCGCTTGGTGTGCAGGAGGTCGTGGGTTTGACCCCGACTCTGACGAAGCCTGCTGCTGCTGTATATGTGGAGTTTGTGGTGTCTCTTATCATCATCACGGTGGCTAGGAGATGTTGACTACCTCGCCTGGTGTGCAGGAGATCGTGGGTTCTATCCCTGCTGCTGTATATTTGTGGAGTCTGCGTCTCTCATCATCATCACGGTGGCTAGGAGATGTTAACTACCTCGCCTGGTCTACAGGAGGTCGTGGGTTCGACCCCGACCCTGACGATGCCTGCTGCTGCTGTATATTTGGAGTTTGCGTGTCTCTCTCATCATCACGGTGGCTAGGAGATGTTGACTACCTCGCCTGGTCTCCAGGAGGTCGTGGGTTCCATCCCTGCTGCTGTATATGTGGAGTTTGTGTGTCTCTCATCATCATGGTGGCTAGGTGGATGTTGACGACCTCGCCTGGTGGGCAGGTGGTCGTGGGTTCGATCCTCTCTCGTCTCTCTCCCCGTGTTCTCTGTCCCCGTGGTCACGTGGATTTTGTCTCCGCGTCCTCGGTTTTTGCATCCACATTTAGAATCAACGTCAACCCGTATATTTCCGCGTGAGGATGATGATGACGATGATACAGCAGGCGATGTCAGGGTCGCGATCGGACCCACGACCTCCTGCGTACCGGGCGAGGTAGTCAACGTCTCCTAGCCACACACAAATATACAGCAGGCAATGTCAGGGTCGCGATCGGACCCACGACCTCCTGCGTACCTGGCGAGGTAGTCAACATCTCCTAGCCACACACAAATATACAGCAGGCGATGTCAGGGTCGCGATCTGACCCACGACCTCCTGCGTACCGGGCGAGGTAGTCAACATCTCCTAGCCACACGCAAATATACAGCAGGTGTGGTTGGTGTTGCGATCGGACCCACGACCTCCTGCGTACCGGGCGAGGTAGTCAACATCTCCTAGCCACACACAAATATTCAGCAGGTGTGGTTGGTGGTGCGATCGGACCCACGACCTCCTGCGTACTGGGCGAGGTAGTCAACATCTCCCCACCGTGGCACAACAGTCTGTTGTAGGCTACGCGGGGGATCTTTGTCTTTGTACCCATGAGTCTGTGTGTGTGTACCTGTGTGTGTGTGCGTGGGGAGCGGTGGGTGTAGCGGTTACCGCTACGCTGCGCTACGAACCCGGCGACACGGGTTCGATTCCCGCTCACGGCCAACACCACCAGTGACGATTATCTGAACCGGTCCTGGGCCTCCCCTAGGTCGACTCAGCCTCAAATGAGTACCTGGTGCGGTGTGTAAACATCGCCACTGGGGAGACAAAGGCGGTCGGGCGTGGTGCTGACCACCCACCCCCTCGTGCGACGTGCCGGCCTTTATAGGTGCTCGCTAACAGCACTTGCCCCTACAGTATGTTAAGGCTATATGGGTGATCTTTGTCTTTGTGCGCCCTCCACCGCAGCTGCTCGTGGACACGCCGACCAGTCCCGTGACGAGCGGAGTGCCGCTGCTCTTCGTCATCACCGTCACGGCCATCAAGCAGGTGCGTGTGTGTGTACGTGTGTGTGTGTGTACGTGTGTGTGTGTGTACGTGTGTGTGTGTGTACGTGTGTGTGTGTACGTGTGTGTGTGTGTACGTGTGTGTGTATACGTGTGTGTGTGTACGTGTGTGTGTACGTGTGTGTGTGTGTACGTGTGTGTGTTCGTCATCACGGTCACGGCCATCAAGCAGGTGCGCGTGTGTGTGCGTGTGTGTGTGTGTACGTGTGTGTGTGTGTGTACGTGTGTGTGTACGTGTGTGTGTGTACGTGTGTATGTGTACGTGTGTGTGTGTGTGTGTTCGTCATCACCGTCACAGCCATCAAGCAGGTGAGTGTGTACGTGTGTGTGTGTACGTGTGTGTGTGTACGTGTGTGTGTGTACGTGTGTGTGTGTGTTTGTACGTGTGTGTGTACGTGTGTAAACGTGTGTGTGCGTGTTCGTCATCACGGTCACGGCCATCAAGCAGGTGAGTGTGTGTGTGTGTACGTGTGTACGTGTGTGTACATGTGTGTGTGTGTAGGTGTGTGTGTGTGTACGTGTGTGTGTACGTGTGTAAACGTGTGTGTGCGTGTTCGTCATCACCGTCACGGCCATCAAGCAGGTGTGTGTGTGTGTGTGTACGTGTGTGTGTGTACGTGTGTGTGTGTGTACGTGTGTGTGTGTGCACGTGTGTGTGTGTGCGTGTACGTGTGTGTGTGTGCGCGTGTTCGTCATCACGGTCACGGCCATCAAGCAGGTGCGCGTGTGTGTACGTGTGTGTGTGTACGTGTGTGTGTGTGTACATGTGTGAGTGTGTCTGTGTGTGTGTACGTGTGTGTGTGGGTTCGTCATCACCGTCACGGCCATCGAGCCCTGAGCAACACGCACGCCACACACACTGACACACACACCCTGTCAGTGTGTGTGTCAGTGTGTGTATACGTGTGTACGTGTGTATGTATGTGTGTGTACATGTGTGAGTGTATACGTGTACGTGTGTGTCTGTGTATACGTGTGTGTGTGCGCGTGTGTGCGCGTGTTTGCGTGTATGCGCGTGTGTGTGTGTGTGAGTACGTGTGTGTACGTGTGTGTGTGTATGTACGTGCGTGTGTGTACGTGTATACACGTGCACGAGTGTGTGAGTGCGTGTGTGTACGCGTGTGTGTGTAAACGTGTCGGTGAGTGTACGTGCGTGCGAGTGTGTGTGTACGTGTGTATGTATGTGTGTGATGTGTGTGCGTCTGTGTACATGTGTGAGTGTGTGTGTGTATATGTGTGTACATGTGTGTGTGTGTGTACGCGCGTGTGTGTATACGTGTGTGTGTGTACATGTACATGTGTGTGTGTACGTGTGTGTGTGTATACGTGTGTGTGTGTACGTGTGTGTGTGTATACGTGTGTGTGTGTACGTGTGTGTGTGTGTGTATGTGTGTGTGTGCATGTGTGTGTGCATGTGTGTGTGCATGTGTGTGTGCATGTGTGTGTATGTGCGTGTGTGTGTACGTGTGTGTGTACATGTGTGTGTGTACATGTACATGTGTGTGTGTGTACATGTACATGTGTGTGTGTGTGTGTACTGTGTGTGTGTGTGTGTGTGTACGTGTGTGTGTGTATACGTGTGTGTGTGTGTATACGTGTGTGTGTACATGTACGTGTGTGTGTGTGTGTACATGTGTGTGTGTGTGTGTGCGCCCGCAGGGCTACGAGGACTGGCTGCGCCACCGCGCCGACGGGGAAGCGAACCACGCAGACGTCTACACCGTGAAGAGCGGACACCTGGTGCGCACGCGCTGCAAGCATGTTCGTGTGAGTACACGCACACACATGTACACACACACACGTACACACACACACGTACACACACACACACGTACACACACACGTACACACACACACGTACACACACACACACGTACACATACACACACGTACACATACACACACGTACACATACACACACACACACACGTACACACACACACACACGTACACACACACACACACGTACACACACGCACACGTACACACACGTACACGTACACACACACGCACACGTACACACGTACACACACACGTACACGCACACGTACACACGTACACACACACACGTACACACACACGTACACACACACACGTACACACACACACACACGTACACACACGTACACGTACACACACGTACACACACACACATGATGTTGTTGATGTGGTGGTGGTGGTGGTAGTTGTTGTTGATGTGGTGGTGGTGGTGGTGATAGTGGTTGATGTTGTAGTGGTTGTGGTTGATGTTGTAGTGGTTGTGGTGGTGGTGATAGTGGTTGATGTTATAGTGGTGGTGGTGTTGGTTGTTGTGGTGGTGGTGGTGGAGCAGGTGGGGGACATTGTGTACGTGCGGAGCGAGGAGTCGTTCCCGTGCGACCTTGTGCTGCTCGCATCCAACTGGAGCGATGGGCGAGCGCTCGTCACCACGGCGAGCCTGGACGGCGAGACCGACCTCAAGGTCACCCACGCAGTCACCCACAGAGTCACCCACAGAGTCACCCACTCAGTCACTCACACAGTCACCCACAGAGTCACCCACAGAGTCACCCACTCAGTCACCCACAGAGTCACCCACAGAGTCACCCACAGAGTCACCCACAGAGTCACCCACAGAGTCACCCATAGTCACCCACATAGTCACCCACAGAGTCACCCACTCAGTCACTCACGCAGTCTCTCACTCACTCAGTCACTCACACACCCACACAGTCACACACTGAGTCACCCACAGAGTCACCCACAGAGTCACCCACAGAGTCACCCATAGAGTCACCCATAGAGTCACCGATAGAGTCACCCACAGAGTCACTCAGTCACTCACGCAGTCACTCAGTCAATCACCCAGTCACTCACTCACTCAGTCAATCACCCAATCACTCACCCACACAGTCACTCACACAGTCACCCACAGAGTCACCCATAGAGTCACCCACTCAGTCACTCACACAGTCACTCACACAGTCACCCACAGAGTCACCCATAGAGTCACCCACGCAGTCACCCACGCAGTCACCCACGCAGTCACTCACACAGTCACCCACAGTCACCCACTCAGTCACCCACAGAGTCACTCACGCAGTCATTCACGTAGTCACCCACAGAGTCACCCATAGAGTCATTCACACAGTCACTCACCCAGTCACTCACTCACTCAGTCACCCATACAGTCACCCACACAGTCACCCACCACCCACCCAGTCACCCACGCAGTCACTCACGCAGTCACTCACGCAGTCACTCACCCAGTCACCCATAGTCACTCACGCAGTCACCCACAGTCACTCACCCAGTCACCCACACAGTCACTCACCCAGTCACCCATTGAGTCACTCACGCAGTCACCCACAGTCACTCACCCATCACTCACCCAGTCACCCACACAGTCACTCACCCAGTCACCCATTGAGTCACTCACGCAGTCACCCACAGTCACTCACTCAGTCACCCACGCAGTCACCCACACAGTCACCCACACAGTCACTCACTCAGTCACCCACTCAGCCACCCACTCAGTCACTCACGCAGTCACTCACACAGTCACCCACTCAGTCACCCACGCAGTCACCCACAGTCACTCACGCAGTCACCCACACAGTCACTCACCCAGTCACCCATTGAGTCACTCACGCAGTCACCCACAGTCACTCACTCAGTCACCCACGCAGTCACCCACGCAGTCACCCACACAGTCACCCACACAGTCACTCACTCAGTCACTCACGCAGTCACTCACACAGTCACCCACTCAGTCACCCACGCAGTCACCCACAGTCACTCACGCAGTCACCCACACAGTCACTCACGCAGTCACTCACTCAGTCACCCACTCAGCCACCCACTCAGTCACTCACACAGTCACCCACTCAGTCACCCACGCAGTCACCTACAGTCACTCACGCAGTCACCCACTCAGCCACCCACTCAGTCACTCACACAGTCACCCACTCAGTCACCCACGCAGTCACCTACAGTCACTCACGCAGTCACCCACCCAGTCACCCACTCAGTCACCCACACAGTCACCCACAGTCACTCACTCAGTCACCCACACAGTCACTCACCCAGTGACTCACACAGTCACTCACTCACCCACACATTCACCCACACAGTCACCCACTCACGGCCAAAGCCAGTGACGATTATCTGAACCGTTCCCTGAATCTCCCCTAGGTCCACTCGGCCTCAAACGAGTAGCTGGTGTAGCTGGGGAGACAAAGGCGGCCGGGCGTGGTGCTGGTAGCCACCCACCCCCTCGTGTGCCACAGTGCCGGTAGCCTTCATAAGCGCTGCTGCTACTAACAGCACTTGCCCCTACAGCCTGTTAGAGGCTACACGGAGGACCTTTGCCTGTGTCTACCTTCATAGGTGCTGCTGCTACTCGCTACTAACAGCACTTGCCCCTACAGCCTGTTAGAGGCTACACGGGGGACCTTTGCCTGTGTCTACCTTCATAGGTGCTGCTGCTACTCGCTACTAACAGCACTTGCCCCTACAGCCTGTTAGAGGCTACACGGGGGACCTTTGCCTGTGTCTACCTTCATAGGTGCTGCTGCTACTCGCTACTAACAGCACTTGCCCCTGCAGTCTGTTAGAGGCTACACGGGGGAGCTTTGTCTTTGATGGTGGTGATGGTAGTGGTGGTGGTGGTTGACAGACGTACTTGTTACCGTGATGATGGTGATGGTGGTTGTGGTGATGGTTGTGGTGGTGATGGTTGTGGTGGTGATGGTTGTGGTGGTGATGGTTGTGGTGGTGATGTTTGTTGTGGTTGTGGTTGACAGACGTACTTTGCCCCCGCTCGCTCGCCCCGCGTGCGGGGGGCAAAGTACGTTTGGTGGTGATGGTTGTTGTGGTGGTGGTGGTGGTTGTTGTGGTTGTGGTGGTGATGATTGTGGTTGTTGTGGTTGTTGTTGACAGACGTACTTTGCCCCCGCTCGCTCGCCCCGCGTTCGCTCTCCACAAGACTTTTCTGGGTTCTCCGCCGCCGTGGAATGTCGCCAGCCACAGCCCGACCTCTACAGGTGAGCTGGTGACCTCTACAGGTGACCTCGTGACCTCTACTGGTGACCCTGTGACCTCTATGGGTGATCTGGTGACCTCTACAGGTGAGATGGTGACCTCTATGGGTGAGCTGGTGACCTCTATGGGTGAGCTGGTGACCTCTACGGGTGAGCTGGTGACCGCTATGGGTGAGCTGGTGACCTCTACTGGTGACCTGGTGACCTCTATGGGTGAGCTGGTGACCTCTACAGGTCACCTGGTGACCTGTAGAGGTCACCTGGTGACCTGTACAGGTGAGCTGGTGACCTCAAACTATAACCTTGTTACCTGTACAGCTGATATGGCCTCTGTGACCTAACGACCTCTACACACGCGCGGTGACCTCTGTGCGTGAGTAGAGGTCATGCTTTAGTGGCCCAATGACCTGTGCATGTGACCCGTTGACCTGGGCATGTGACCTGTTGACCTGTGCATGTGACCTGTTGGCCTGGGCATGTGACCTTTTGACCTGTGCATGTGACCTTTTGACCTGTGCATGTGACCCAGTGACCTGGGCAGGTGACTGACCCTGCCCTTTGCCCTCAGGTTTGAAGGTCACATCACCATCCACAACACGGAGGAATCGGAGCTGAGCGTCCCCGAGTGAGTGAGCGAGTGTGTGTGTTAGTGTGTGTGTTAGTGTGTGTGTTAGTGTGTGTGTGTTAGTGTGTGTGTGTGTTAGTGTGTGTGTGTGTTAGTGTGTGTGTGTTAGTGTGTGTGTGTTAGTGTGTTAGTGTGTGTTAGTGAGTGTGTTTCCAACCACCGGTTAGAAACATTCAGACTGGCCTGCCTACGATCCATCCTGGGTTTAACCAGGCTGGATTGTGTGAGGAGCTCACAAATCCTTGAAAGATCTGGGCAAAGTCTCATCGGTAGAGCTCCTCCGGCAGGCAAGGCTGCGTTGGCTGGGTCATGTAGCCCGCATGCCCAGCCACCGCATGCCCAGCCACCGCATGCCTAAACAGCACGGGCTGGAGAAGAGATGGAGCTGATGGGTGAGTGGGTGGGTGAGTGGGTGAGTGTGTGAGTGAGTGGGTGAGTGGGTGGCACGGGCGAGAGAAGAGATGGAGTTGATGGGTGAGTGGGTGGGTGAGTGGGTGGCATGGGCTAGAGAAGAGATGGAGCTGATGGGTGAGTGGGTGGCACGTGCTAGAGAAGAGATGGAGTGATGTGGTACAGGAGGACGTGGAGCTGAGTGGACTTGCCGATTCCATCGCGCTACGAACCCGGCGACCCCGAGTTCGATTCCCGCTCCTGGGCCCTCCCCTAGGTCGACTCAGCCTCCTCAAACGAGTAGCTGGTGTAGCGGTGTGTAGTGAACATCGCCACTGGGGAGACAAAGGCGGCCGGGCGTGGTGCTGGTAGCCACCCACCCCCTCGTGTGCCACAGTGCCGGTAGCCTTCACAGGGTGCTGCTCGCTAACAGCACTTGCCCCTACAGCCTGTTAGAGGCTACACAGGGGAGCTTTGTGTGTGTCTCTGTCTTTGTCTCTGTGTGTCTGTGTCTCTGTGTGTCTCTGTCGGTGTCTCTCTGTGTGTCTCTCTGTGTGTCTCTGTATGTGTCTCTGTCTGTGTCTCCACGTGTCTCTGTGTGTCTCTGTCGGTGTCTCTGTGTGTCTCTGTCTGTGTCTTTGTGTGTCTCTGTCTGTCTCTGTGTGTCTCTGTGTGAGTGTCTCTGTGTGTCTCTGTGGCTCTGTATGTGTCTCTGTCTGTCTCTGTGTGTCTCTGTGTGTCTCTGTGGCTCTGTATGTGTCTCTGTCTGTCTCTGTGTCTCTGTGTGAGTGTCTCTTTGTGTCTCTGTGTGAGTGTCTCTGTGTGTCTCTGTGGCTCTGTATGTGTCTCTGTCTGTCTCTTTGTGTCTCTGTGTGTCTCTGTCTGTCTCTGTGTGTCTCTGTATGTGTCTGTCTCTGTGTGTTTCTGTATGTGTCTGTCTCTTTGTGTCTCTGTGTGAGTGTCTCTGTGTGTATCTGTGGCTCTGTATGTGTCTCTGTCTGTTTCTTTGTGTCTCTGTGTGTCTCTGTCTGTCTCTGTGTGTCTTTGTATGTGTCTGTCTCTTTGTGTCTCTGTGTCAGTGTCTCTGTGTGTCTCTGTGGCTTTGTATGTGTCTCTGTCTGTCTCTGTGTGTCTCTGTGTGAGTGTCTCTGTGTGTCTCTGTGTGTCTCACACAGAGACACACAGAGACACACACTAGCTACCCCCAGCGCCGGCCTTCGTAGGTGCTCGCTAACAGCACTTGCCCCGACATTCTGTTGAGGCTGTATCAGGGGGGAGACCTTTACCTTTGTGCTGAGCGGAGGGTTGAACTCTCGCACCTCCAGCGCCCTGGGACCTGAGAATCTGCTGCTGCGTGGAACCCGGCTCAAGAACACCGACTTCATCTACGGTGAGTAGTGGGGGGGCGGTGGTGGTGGTGGTGGGGGGGGGGGGGCACCGTAGACTCAGCACTGCACCATAGACTCAACACTGCTACTCATAGACTCAACACTGCCCATAGACTCAACACTGCACCATAGACTCAACACTGCACCATAGACTCAACACTGCCACTCATAGACTCAACACTGCACCATAGACTCAACACTGCCACTCATAGACTCAACACTGCACCATAGACTCAACACTGCACCATAGACTCAACACTGCCACTCAGACTCAACACTGCCACTCATAGACTCAACACTGCACCATAGACTCAACACTGCACCATAGGCTCAACACTGCACCATAGACTCAACACTGCCACTCAGACTCAACACTGCCACTCATAGAATCAACACTGCACCATAGACTCAACACTGCCACTCAGACTCAACACTGCCACTCATAGACTCAACACTGCACCATAGACTCAACACTGCCACTCAGACTCAACACTGCCACTCATAGACTCAACACTGCACCATAGACTCAACACTGCCACTCAGACTCAACACTGCCACTCATAGACTCAACACTGCACCATAGACTCAACACTGCACCATAGACTCAACACTGCCACTCATAGACTCAACACTGCACCATAGACTCAACACTGCACCATAGACTCAACACTGCCACTCATAGACTCAACACTGCACCATAGACTCAACACTGCACCATAGAATCAACACTGCACCATAGACTCAACACTGCCACTCATAGACTCAACACTGCCCATAGACTCAGCACTGCCCATAGACTCAACACTGCCACTCATAGACTCAACACTGCCCATAGACTCAACACTGCCCATAGACTCAACACTGCACCATAGACTCAACACTGCCCATAGACTCAACACTGCACCATAGACTCAACACTGCCCATAGACTCAACACTGCCCATAGACTCAACACTGCCCATAGACTCAACACTGCCCATAGATTCAACACTGCCACTCATAGACTCAACACTGCACCATGGACTCAACACTGCCCATAGACTCAACACTGCCCATAGACTCAACACTGCCCATAGACTCAACACTGCCCATAGACTCAACACTGCCCATAGACTCAGCACTGCACCATAGACTCAACACTGCACCATAGACTCAGCACTGCCCATAGATTCAACACTGCCACTCATAGACTCAACACTGCCTCATAGACTCAACACTGCCCCATAGACTCAACACTGCACCATAGACTCAACACTGCACCATAGACTCAACACTGCACCATAGACTCAACACTGCACCATAGACTCAACACTGCACCGTAGACTTAACACTGCACCATAGACTCAGCACTGCACCATAGACTCAACACTGCACCATAGACTCAACACTGCCCCATAGACTCAACACTGCACCATAGACTCAACACTGCACCATAGACTCAACACTGCACCATAGACTCAACACTGCACCATAGACTCAACACTGCACCATAGACTCAACACTACCCATAGACTCAACACTGCCCATAGACTCAACACTACCCATAGACTCAACACTGCACCATAGACTCAACACTGCACCACAGACTCAACACTGCACCACAGACTCAACACTGCACCATAGACTCAACACAGCCCATAGACTCAACACTGCCCCATAGACTCAACACTGCACCATAGACTCAACACTGCACCATAGACTCAACACTGCACCATAGACTCAACACTGCTCATAGACTCAACACTGCACCATAGACTCAACACTGCTCATAGACTCAACACTGCACCATAGACTCAACACTGCTCATAGACTCAACACTGCTCATAGACTCAACACTGCACCATAGACTCAACACTGCACCATAGACTCAACACTGCCCATAGACTCAACACTGCCCATAGACTCAACACTGCACCATAGACTCAACACTGCTCATAGACTCAACACTGCACCATAGACTCAACACTGCACCATAGACTCAACACTGCACCATAGACTCAACACTGCCCATAGACTCAACACTGCACCATAGACTCAACACTGCACCATAGACTCAACACTGCACCATAGACTCAACACTGCACCATAGACTCAACACTGCACCATAGACTCAACACTGCACCATAGACTCAACACTGCACCATAGACTCAACACTGCACCATAGACTCAACACTGCACCTTAGACTAACACTACCCATAGACTCAACACTGCCCATAGACTCAACACTGCACCACTAACCACTAACCGCTAACCACTAACCGCTAACCTTTAACCACTAACCACTAACCGCTGACCTTTAACCGCTAACCTTTAACCACTAACCGCTAACCACTAACCACCAACCACTAACCCTTAACCGCTAACCTTTAACCGCCAACCTTCAACTGCTAACCTTTATCCGCTAACCACTAACCACTAACCTCTAACCGCTAACCGCTAACCACTAACCGCTAACCGTTAACCGCTAACCACTAACCTCTAACCGCTAACCACTAACCTCTAACTGCTAACCGCTAACCGCTAACCACTAACCTCTAACCGCTAACCATTAACCTCTAACCTCTAACCGCTAACCACTAACCTCTAACCGCTAACCGCTAACCACTAACCTCTAACCGCTAACCACTAACCTCTAACCGCTAACCACTAACCTCTAACCGCTAACCGCTAACCACTAACCTCTAACCGCTAACCACTAACCTCTAACTGCTAACCGCTAACCGCTAACCTCTAACCGCTAACCACTAACCTCTAACCGCTAACCGCAAACCACTAACCACTAACCTCTAACCTTGTGCGTGTGCGCTGCAGGCGCCGCGGTCTACACCGGCATGGAGACCAAGATGGCGCTCAACTACCGCTCCAAGTCGCAGAAGCGCTCCGTCGTCGAAGTGTGAGTCCCACGTGTGTACACGTGTGTGTGTGTAGCTGTGTGTGTACGTGTGTGTGTGCGTGTGTGTGTGTACGTGTGTGTGTACGTGTGTGTAGCTGTGTGTGTACGTGTGTGTGTGCGTGTGTGTGTGTGTGTACGTGTGTGTGTACGTGTGTGTGCGTGTGTGTGTGTGTACGTGTGTGTGTAGCTGTGTGTGTACGTGTGTGTGTGTGTGTGTGTACGTGTGTGTGTGTACGTGTGTGTGTGTGTACGTGTGTGTGTGTGTGTACGTGTGTGTGTGTACGTGTGTGTGTGTACGTGTGTGTGTGTACGTGTGTGTGTGTGTACGTGTGTGTGTGTACGTGTGTGTGTGTACGTGTGTGTGTGTGTGTGTACGTGTGTGTGTGTGTGTACGTGTGTGTGTGTGTGTACGTGTGTGTGTGTACGTGTGTGTAGCTGTGTGTGTACGTGTGTGTGTGTGTGTACGTGTGTGTGTGTACGTGTGTGTGTACGTGTGTGTGTACGTGTGTGTGTGTGTACGTGTGTGTGTGTGTACGCGTGTGTGTGTACGTGTGTGTATATGTGTGTGTGTTGGTGTGTGTGTTGACGCGTGTGTGTGTGTGTGTACGTGTGTGTGTACGTGTGTGTGTGTACGTGTGTGTGTGTACGTGTGTGTGTACGTGTGTGTGTACGTGTGTGTACGTGCGTGTGTACGTGCGTGTGTGTGTGTGTACGTGTGTGTGTGTACGTGTGTGTGTGTGTACGTGTGTGTGTGTACGTGTGTGTACGTGTGTGTGTGTACGTGTGTGTGTGTACGTGTGTGTACGTGTGTGTGTGTGTGTGTGTACGTGTGTGTACGTGTGTGTGTGTGTGTGTACGTGTGTGTGTGTGTACGTGTGTGTACGTGTGTGTGTACGTGCGTGTGTGTGTGTACGTGTGTGTGCAGGTCTATGAACTCATTCCTGCTGGTCTACCTGGTCCTGCTGCTGTGTGAGGCTCTGCTGGGAGTTGTGCTCAAGTCGGTGTGTGTGTGTACGTGTGTGTGTGCGTGTACGTGTGTGTGTACGTGTGTGTGTGTACGTGCGTGTGTACACGTGTGTGTACGTGTGTGTGTACGTGTGTACATGTGTGTGTGTACGCGTGTGTGTGTGTGTACAGGTCTATGAACTCGTTCCTGCTGGTCTACCTGTGCCTGCTGCTGTGTGAGGCTCTGCTGGGAGTTGTGCTCAAGTCGGTGTGGCAGATGGACGCCCGGCGGGGCGGCGCCGGCGCCTGGTACAACGAGGCACCGCCGCTGGGACCCGCCCAGCGCAGCGCGGTGAGGGCAGCGTCACACTCGGCGCGTCACACTCAGCATCGTCACACTCGGCTCGTCACACTCGGCTCGTCACACTCGGCACGTCACACTCGGCTCGTCACAATCAGCACGTCACAATCAGCACGTCACAATCAGCACGTCACACTCAGCGTCACACTCACCATCGTCACACTCAACAGCGTCACACTCAGCACGTCACACTCACCACGTCACACTCACCACGTCACACTCGCCAAGTCCCACCGTGCTCACCTCCACAGACTCTGCAGTTCCTGGTGGACTTTCTGGACTTCCTGATCCTCTTCAACTCCGTGATCCCCGTGTCGCTCTACGTCACACTCACCGCGTCACACTCACCACGTCACACTCACCAGCGTCACACTCACCACGTCACACTCACCACGTCACACTCAGCGTCACACTCACCACGTCACACTCAGCACGTCACACTCAGCACGTCACACTCACCACGTCACACTCAGCACGTCACACCGTGTCCCCGTGTGTCCCACAGACGCTGCAGTTCCTGGTGGACTTCCTGGACTTCCTGATCCTGTTCAACTACATGATCCCCGTGTCTCTCATCGTCACACTCACCGCGTCACACTCACCACGTCACACTCACCACGTCACACCGTGTCCCCGTGTGTCCCACAGACGCTGCAGTTCCTGGTGGACTTCCTGGACTTCCTGATCCTGTTCAACTACGTGATCCCCGTGTCGCTCTACGTCACACTCACCACGTCACACTCACCACGTCACACTCACCACGTCACACTCAGCACGTCATACCGCGTGTGTCCCACAGACGCTGCAGTTCCTGGTGGACTTTCTGGACTTCCTGATCCTGTTCAACTACGTGATCCCCGTGTCGCTCTACGTCACACTCACCACGTCACACTCACCTCGTCATACCGCGTGTGTCCCACAGACGTTGCAGTTCCTCGTGGACTTCCTGGACTTCCTGATCCTGTTCAACTACGTGATCCCCGTGTCGCTCTACGTCACACTCACCACGTCACACTCACCACGTCACACCGTGTCCCCGTGTGTCCCACAGACGCTGCAGTTCCTGGTGGACTTCCTGGACTTCCTGATCCTCTTCAACTACGTGATCCCCGTGTCTCTCATCGTTACACTCACCAGCGTCACACTGAGCGTCACACTCAGCACGTCATACCGCGTGTGTCCCACAGACTCTGCAGTTCCTGGTGGACTTCCTGGACTTCCTGATCCTCTTCAACTACGTGATCCCCGTGTCTCTCATCGTCACACTCACCAGCGTCACACTCAGCGTCACACTCAGCGTCACACTCAGCACGTCATACCTGCGTGTGTCCCACAGACGCTGCAGTTCCTGGTGGACTTCCTGGACTTCCCGATCCTGTTCAACTATGTGATCCCCGTGTCTCTCATCGTCACACTCACCAGCGTCACACTCAGCGTCACACTCAGCGTCACACTCAGCACGTCATACCGCGTGTGTCCCACAGACGCTGCAGTTCCTGGTGGACTTCCTGGACTTCCCGATCCTGTTCAACTATGTGATCCCCGTGTCGCTCTACGTCACACTCACCACGTCACACTCACCACGTCATACCGCGTGTGTCCCACAGACGCTGCAGTTCCTGGTGGACTTCCTCGACTTCCTGATCCTGTTCAACTATGTGATCCCCGTGTCGCTCTACGTCACACTCACCACGTCACACTCACCACGTCATACCGCGTGTGTCCCACAGACGCTGCAGTTCCTGGTGGACTTCCTGATCCTGTTCAACTACGTGATCCCCGTGTCGCTCTACGTCACACTCACCACGTCACACCGTGTCCCCGTGTGTCCCACAGACTCTGCAGTTCCTGGTGGACTTCCTGGACTTCCTGATCCTGTTCAACTACGTGATCCCCGTGTCGCTCTACGTCACACTCACCACGTCACACCGTGTCCCCGTGTGTCCCACAGACTCTGCAGTTCCTCGTGGACTTCCTCGACTTCCTGATCCTCTTCAACTACGTGATCCCCGTGTCTCTCTACGTCACACTCACCAGCGTCACACTCACCACGTCACACTCACCACGTCACACTCACCACGTCACACTCACCATCGTCACACCGTGTCCCCGTGTGTCCCACAGACGCTGCAGTTCCTGTGGACTTCCTGGACTTCCTGATCCTGTTCAAACTACGTGATCCCCGTGTCTCTCATCGTCACACTCACCGCGTCACACTCACCACGTCACACTCAGCACGTCACACTCACCACGTCACACCGTGTCCCCGTGTGTCCCACAGACGCTGCAGTTCCTGGTGGACTTCCTGGACTTCCTGATCCTGTTCACTACGTGATCCCCGTGTCTCTCATCGTCACACTCACCGCGTCACACTCACCACGTCACACTCAGCACGTCACACTCACCACGTCCACCGTGTCCCCGTGTGTCCCACAGACGCTGCAGTTCCTGGTGGACTTCCTGGACTTCCTGATCCTGTTCAACTACAGTGATCCCCGTGTCTCTCATCGTCACACTCACCGCGTCACACTTCACCACGTCACACTCAGAAAGCCTCACACTCACCCCGTCACACCGTGTCCCCGTGTGTCCCACAGACGCTGCAGTGTCCTGGTTGGGCTTCCTGACTTCCCCTTATCCTGTTCAACTACTTGATTCTCCGTGTCTCTCATCGTCACAACATCCCACACCGCGTAAAACTCACCACGTCACACTCCAGCAGTCACATC